GGGGGTAAGTGCTTCAGAAGATAAAACATACTTGTTGCTGTCACAGACATTTCTTTTGTTTTAAAGCTTAAGCTGTGATCTGAAATACACTGTGAGGGACAGGGCAAATTCATGCAGTTAGTAATGAAAATTATACACAACTTAATATTGAATATTTATGGAAACAGGAAAAGCGATCACAGGAAACAGCAAAAGGAAACCAGTAATCTAGCTAACATGTGTGAGAGGAAGACAAGCCACCGTCACTGTCAGCAGCAGAAACAGAGCGTACCATTTCCACTGCATTTGTTCTTACTCTCCATCTGCCTTTTCGGTGTGTCTGATTAGTTGTTGCTATGTTTCTCTGCCTCTCCCTCTCTTTCTGTGTGGTGTTGCTTGCAAGTAAAAGGAAGACAGAGGTAGTCAAATAGTTGAACCCAAGCCAGAACATAAAAATTTCAGGTCCTTTGTCTACACAAAGTGTTTATCATCACAGGAGAATGACGGAAAAGTCATAGGACTTTGAGGAACGCACCCTTCCAGGTGTCAGGCGTTTCCAGATTCATCGTCGCACTCTAATAATTGTGAATCATCTGTCAAAAGGGTGTCTTTGAGTTTGACACCCTTATTTTCCTGGCAAACATGACATTAGCTGCTCAGGCTGCCACATGTACCTGCACATGCACAGAGTATAAGGTCATACAAAAGCTGTCAGTCATCCTACGACAACAGCAAAAGACTGCTATAAAAGGAGCCAAAAAGCCACAGCACAATTGTGTTATCATGATTGCCCAATCTCTTGTAAACTTTAGTAAGGGGATTACTTGTCTGCCAGCGGCAATTATCATTACAAAGTGCTTACAAAACATTCCCTGATTTACAGCACATGTGTTTGAAATTTATGTATTTTTGAGTTTAGAATATGATACTATGAGTGGAATGCGGTCGCAGGAGTTCTAAATAAACTCAGGAAGGTCCCGTGTCAGGGACTAAAAACAGTAAGATATGAATTAGCTACAGTGGAATGTCAAATGTTGCTGTTGAAAGGACCCAACACATTTTTATCCGTCACTGAAACTGAAACAAAAATCAGAAATGAAAGCATTATGTGAAACTAATTTACACCATACCTCTAGGAAATTTCTACTTTGGAGTTTCTATGCTGATCAAACCAGGTGGTTTCTCTTTGGTATTTACAGCATTTCACACATTGGATGTGAGGGCATATGATTTCAATATTTTTGGAATCTCATATTCTGTGTTTTTGAGGATTCTTTATAACAATATGCTGATCTCAGACATGGACCTACACCTGCTGTGGGTCAGTAGGATGAAGGCTGTGATTTGAAGTAGTTACCTCCTTCGTGTCTTTGGCACTTTCCACATATGTTCTCACTGACAAGTCTGTTGTTCCAAGCTTTACAGAATTAACTGTTTTTCAGTGATATTTGAGATATCCTTCTTTCTTGCTTGCTTTCAGTTATTTAGCTTTAACACAGACCCACATGGACATAGCGTGGTCATGTAAAGCCAGCTGCAGGCTTAGCATGATTCACTGGCCATGACATGGCGTCGAATCATGAGACCGACAGACTTGATGGCATCATCAACACCTGCTAGGTTCCTGTGTGTTTCTATAGAGAAAAAAAGTCATATTACTTATAATCTATAACAGGAAGAAATCAGTAGTTATTTTTACCTTTATGCCAGTGGTTTTATGCATCATATCCATTTTCGACTCTAGATTTATTTTTACATACTTGTAAAATTCCATTATGCATTTGTCTAAATATACAAATAAAGTACACAGTACTGTAAGTCCAGAGTCAAATATTTGTCTTGTACAAATAAATGCATAGATTATATTGCGTTTACACTTGTGCATACTTAACTATCTTTAATCAAATGCTTTACTCAATTCTTGTCTCTTTCCACATCTCATATCCATCATCCAGTATGTTTTGAAGCTGATATGGAACTTCACAGTGTCAGGGAGCGCCCTGAAAAGCACACTGTGGAAACATTCCTTCAGTTTGATTTCATACAATTAGCCGGTTGGACTGGTAGGAATGTTAATAAGAACTGTATCTAACTATGTTAAAGGTCAAATATAAGAGATGAATGCTTAAACCCTTTCTTTCTTCTGTGAACATTTAGGTTTCCAGTCTGCCCCCACCCCAGAAAGCAGTCTGCTGAGATGGACATATTGTTACTGGGGCTGTGAATGCAGTATTTAACTTGATTTGTCCTGATTTGTCACCATTTTATAGACTACTGAAATAAATGAAACAACATTTTGTGATCATTTTAAAACTTTGCTGGTGCCTCAATTATACTGAGCTGTGAAAACAATGTTTTGATTCAGTCAAACTGTGGAAACTGAAAACAATGGCTGAAATGCACTTATTCTGTTTACTTTCAAACAATTGTACTTTACCATGTTAATTTTCTTTTTTCATTCTAGATCTTTTTTATTGTGTTGTGTTGTTGTGCTAAATGAACAACAGCACAGTGGTAATGTACTGGATGGGGTGGGGGAAGAGGATGAGGGACTGCATGTGTCAGTCAGTGAGAACCTCCCACCTCCTGTACAGTATAAAAGGCTTCCTGTTTGGTGTGTGAGCGGTATTAGCAAAGTGGCACTGCTGCCTTACAGAACCTGAGGCAGTTTCAAGAAACCTGTGGAGTACTTTAATTTTTTCTTTTACAACTGATTCTACAAGAAAAGCTTTCTCGTCCATCTGACTTATCAGAAAATTATAGGTATGTGCACTTTCTTTTAAAGAAGGTATTTGCTCTGCTTCCAGCTGATGATTTTATCCTTACTTTCTGAGGTCAAGGCACAAGTGTAAAGACAAAGACAGGTTATCAGTTTGGTTATAAAAGCAGCTCAGTTCTTAATATGAGGCATATATTGTTTTTTAGTTGCAATTTATTTTGCTATGTTTTGTGTATTTTAATGTGGTGACTGGGTTGAATTAGCATTTTAGTTTTTGTTTAACTTTTGAGAGGAGTTATTTTGGACCCCTCATTGGCAGACGGTGTCCTTCATGTTATTTGCCAGGGCCCCAAAGCAAGGTTGCAAGTTTACTAATCAAACAAAATTTGACCTTAGCTTGACTTTTTAAATAGATGAATGATATCTGCAAATAGCTTGGCTTTTGAACTCTTGGGAAAGAAAGCACCAATGCTGAATTTATGGAAATACATACATTTAAATGCACAGAGGGGTAGTAGGAAATGCATATAGTTAAATATTACATTATAGCACAAATAAAATGTTTTCTCTATTATCCACAGGAGTTAAAATGAAACTGATCTTCCAGTCCTTACTCTGTTGCTGCCTGCTGGTGACAGTGGCACACTGTATGGAGCTTGAAGGGAATTTGGAGTTGAAAAGAAGGTGAGTCATTCATTCAGTTATCAAAATGTTTTCATCTGCTACAAGATATGACAGAAGTTGCCTATCTACTGAGTCATCTCCCTAAGACTAATGGATTTTTTTCCTCATCTCCCAGGCTAAGCCTGTGGCTGGGGAGCAGACTGAGACGGGATCTTGACAGTGTAACAGTAGAGAAGAGAGCAGCGTCTGAGCGTTTTGTCAGACCAGAAGATATCAGGGATACTTTGCTGCCGCATTCCAGGTAAGACACTGACCATGCAATACTGAAAATCTACACACTGTTTGCATTTGGTTTCACAACCACTTTGTCATTTAAATGAGCTCTGTTTGTCACATCAAGAGTAGAGAATTTTGAGAAGGCTCAGCCATCAATAACCTAGGGACAAACAGCATGGATTAATGTCCTCTTGTATCTCCTTCTGTCCTGTAGCACTGACATCAATGTCCGAACCAAGCGATCAAAAAACTCAGCCAACCAGTCAGCAAGATCAGGTTGTTCACTCGGCACCTGCACAGTGCATGACCTGGCATACCGCCTGCACCAGCTCAATAACAATTTGAAGATCGGTGCCCCTGCTGACAAGATAAGCCCAAAGGGATACGGCCGGAGGCGTCGATCTCTTCCAGCGCACAGAGTCACACTGAGGTTGGAGCAGGGCAGGCTGAGGCCCGCATGGAGCGCAACTAACTCACAAGTTCATAAGCTTGAGGCTCTCCTCAGAAAGACATGAGTGGGACTTTACAAGAAGAGTTGGGAACAAAGGCAAGGCAGTAGTTCAGAGTTAATGTCCAATCAACTCTGTTCTAAAATTCTCAAAATGCCTCAGACTCTTGCCAAGTATTCTCCAGCACATTTTTCTAGGCATGAGGACTGAGTCAGAGCAAGACTGGCTGCACTGAGTTTCTCTAAAGGCTGAGCCATGCAGAGCCACGATGTAGGGAGTGCAAACAACTACAGCTAGCTTACAGACACTGGATGGCACAGCGTCGAGTAAACTACAGGTGCTGCTCTCTGCTTGGCAGAGGGAACGGAAGAGTGCTGATAGGAAAGGGACACATCTTCTGGCTTAAAGAGGAAACTCTCTACTAACATTCTGGGACTTAACACACTTATTCTTCAAGGCCAGAACTTTGATAAGTGCTATCTTCTAAGGATTATACCATCATGTTCCATAAAACTGTCAGTACTTGTCTGCACTTTTCCATTTGGACTTCAAGTTGTATGAATGAATCATCAGGAAAAGACATCTTCATCACAATGCTAAACAGGAAGATTGCTTACAGAGCGGTGAAGCTCTCATTAGATATAAAGTTTTGGACACTGTATAAGGAAAAATGCCTTCTGTGACATATGCGCCAGTCCGCAATGGACTGAAATATACTTGAAATTGTTATTTTTGTGTACAAAAACATGTGCAATCTATTCTTGTTGTTATTGCAGGTATATGTATATATGAATTCCTTTATTTAAATATTATATAGAGGTAACATTTAAGTACTTAAAGAATTATTTTTGTACAGAAAGAAATATATATGGGCATTGTAGCTGTTTGTCATTATTCTTTTTTAAAACTGTGGTAAAAGGATATCTGTTTTATTTGTGTCAAAGAAATAACATTGCATTCAATAAACATTTTTCATACAAAATCTAGATCTTGTCCAGACATCCTTGGCTCCTGGCTCTAGTAAACTGAAAGTGACATTCTGTAGTCTGGAATGCGAACTGCCACGGCAAGACGCAGCGCACCTGGTCTCTGTTAAATTATTACAGGGGCTAATTAAAGCCTCCCCTCCTCTCACTACATTCCCCCAGTTATGACACCCCCTTCCCTTCAAAACAAGGG